GTAAAATTCATGCCATTTGCAAGTACAGTTTAAGTATATTTTCTTCAAATAGTTGCAAAATTGATGTTGAGATATGCCAAATCCATTTTCAGCTGGATCTCAAAACCATTCTGCCTGTAATACTTATCCATAATAAAAATCTAAACACAAGAAAACCATTTCAAATTTTCAGTGTAACCTCTGGGACACCATTCCTTCCCCCGGCACCAATTATTTATTACTAGCTTCAATGAGACTTTTAGGTACAGAAGGAGCAGGCTGGCAGAACACCGCTCTCAAAACATGGCAGCTGCTGTCTTTTTTTATACTTAAAAAAAAAACAACAGAAAATATTACAAAAGAATGGAGTCATGTAACACAAAGCTGCTTTAGGCTTGATGAGACCGATCTGTACATGTCTAGTCAGTTTTAAGTCCTACGGAGCTCCATGCAGCTCGCTTCCAGGTGACTGGGCATTAGGCCGGAGATGGAGCCACAGCAAGGGAGCACGTATGAGCTTTGAAGTTTCTTGCTCATTTATGCGTTTTGCATGTGGCATCAGTCAGGCTAAATTTATTTCAAACAGGGTTGCTCTGTAGAAACTAATAAATATTTATCCATAGCTATTAGTCTGAAAAAGTGCCCTTCCAAAATGATTTTTTTTTTAAACCAGGAGAGTATAATGCAATTTTTGAAGGGCAAAAAGTGGTTGGTAGCAAGGTTTCAAGGCAGAAATCATAATGAAGTGATACTGGCATACTTTTTTTTTAAAAGAAGTGATTAAATTCTATCATAAACATTTATGAAATTCCTCACACAAGATCACTCCAAGGAGGATGATAAACATATTAGCATTTGTGTACAACAAGGGCAAAACATATACCCTCCCCAAAAGGGACTGTAAAATATATTAACAGTTAAAGAAAGCGAAGCACTGCATATAAATTTACATTATAGTAAAATCCTATTGATGTTATACTATCAGTTTACTATAATACTTTGCTTTTCCAAATTCACACTGTGCTTTTTGTTTTTTGCTTTTTTTTTTAGCATCTAGGCACTCTTTATATTGAAATCCGATGCTTCCTAACATCCTTTTTCTCACTAATTGGCAATGACAGAAACTGAAATGTCAAACTGGTTCTTTTGAAAGCAATTCTTCACCTTTCCAAGATATTTTAATGACTGAAATAATTTTTTTTTAAAAAAAACAGGGTCTTATAGCTTTATTGTAGCAAAAAAAAAAAAGTCTGCAAGTCAAAAGACTACTATATATAATACGTGAATTATATCTTTAGCATGCTGGAAGAAAGGAAACAATGAACAACAACAACGAAGTGCAGACAGCGTAAGATGTATTCAGGCATTAAATTTCCTTAGGGTTAAAAGTGCATGGGTACAGAATAGGAATGTGATTTTTGGCTTTGTTGACTATGTTATACCTGGATGGACTGGCCTATTATTCTCCACAAATTTGAAGGTTTCCAATGCAATTTAGAATTCAACCCAATCAGGGTTCTTAATCATGCATATTACTACACAGAGGGCCAAACAGTGAAAAGCGAGGTGGAGGCAGAACTGGCCAATGCAGTTGTATTTTACTATATGCATTTCTAATCAAACTTGAATTAGGCTGTAGTCTGGCATTTCCATATGAAAGCTCAAATTAATTTTCCCCAGGGATGCTACAAACAGGACCTTTTGGACTTCAGAGCCTGTTAGACCCCTACTTACAGTTCATTTTTCTCTATATGTGCTTACCCAGAGCACTGAGTGAGAATATTTAAGACACCGGAAATAAATGGCACAGTAAATCTGTTCCTTTTCTCTGCAAGTAAATGGATGTTTTGTGCCTGGCCCTCACCCACAGGGTAGCTATTCCATGTTAACTGTTCTGGGCCATGGCTGGCACCATCACAAAACAGATTCCCTATCTTTGCCCTATCCCAGTGTTTTTCAGTGCTGGCAACTTTAGGATGCTGGCTAGGGAATTCTGGGAATTGAATCCCACACATCTTCAAGTTGCCAAGGTTGAAAAACACAGCTCTGTCCCAATGGATTGCAGCCAAAGTCCTTTGGATCCCAATTTCCTCATTTTCATTCAGCATTTTTCATATCATAAGACCTTATCTCATCTTATTTGTGCATTTATCTTTGTCGACTGAAGGATCAGTTTCACAGACAAATGGCTAAAAGACATCACACTTCAAGAACCTTCATCATAAATGCTAATTTGACAGCTGCATTAACTTAGATGTTAATTTGCAACTGTAGATTTTAACACCAAAGCTGAAAATTTGATTCCATCTTTAGCATAAAGAGCGTGTTCCCCACCCTTCCACCATGAAAAAATTATGACAAAGACTCACACAATCCCTTTTCATGCAAACTGCACATTACTTTGCAGAAAATAGTCAATGGCCAGAGATGGAGTTTTTAATTCCTATTCTGTTTATTTTCTTCTGACCATTCAGCAATGGTGTTTCTAACTCCCAAGGTCTTTGATATCAAAGCCTTCTCCAGACGGAAGAGTACAAGGGGGAGAACAGGGATCCTATTTTGTCTGGCCTTCTATCATACTTGCTCTCTGAAATTCTTCTTACTTCTAGTTTCAGGATGTGCTACTCAGCAAACCTGGCCTAAAAGATTGCTCCCTTTAAGCCTAACATTTGTGTATGCTTATACCTACAGACTTAATTCTGCAAGAGTTAGAAAAACTCTGCCCACTGCAATCATTAATTTTAGACCTATGTATGTTAAACTGAATATGTACTGGATTATAAACAGGTGGTATTTCTGCTAATAGGTGGCTTTTTGATCTTATGGCAGCTTCTGAATGGTGGAATAGAGGGAAGTGCCAAATTGGGTGAGCCAAACACCCAATTATTCAGGACATTTGGTCCTTTAGAGCAAACGTCGGGGAAAACTAAGTAAGTTGCAGAGGTGACAGGGACACACACACAAAATCATTCTTGTTCCTGAGATAAAAATTTCCTCTTCAGGGGTAGAGAGAATTTTATTCAAGGGTACCAGTTGAACACAACCCAGTGTGACTTATTATTTTAAAGAAACACATAAACTCTTTTTCATCTTTTAAATACCAAATGGAAAACATCTCCCTATCCCTATCTCTTTAGCTATCTCCCCTCTATGGAATCCTTTACAGCAAAAGCAATCTGTGCAAAGCTAATGGTCACCCGCTCTCCAGTGACAAATATTTACCTATACATGTTTGATCAAATCAACTATTACTGATAAAAAGATGTCACTGCAATTTCTCCAAAAAAGTAACACTGACAATCCTTTGAAACAAAGATATAATGGTGTCAAAATGTACAATCTGAACAAAATAGACAGAATGCTGGATCTACATTGCTGAATGACTGAGCACATCCATGATCTTCTTCAAATGTCAAGGATGGAGATGTATTTATGGGTGCTCAAACTTCAGGATCAAATGTTAGTTTTGGAGGAAGTTGCAATTTTTCTGTCCAATTTTCAAATAAGCAGATAACGTGCACTTAACAAATATTGCACACTTGAAGTTCCAAACAGAGATTCTTATAAGCTACTGCAAACCCCACATTCACTTGCACTGATGATGTTACCTAGTTGGGAAATGAAACGTCTGCAAGCAAACAACCAAGCTCAGAGAGCACCAAGAATTCCATACAGATTATTTTCTAATGAAAAGTAACAATCAATGGGCAACCAGACTTCAAGGGAGAACAGTGTAAGACAGTTGGTAAAAGAGTCCGGTTGAAGAATGGAACTAGATACTGACTTTTCAGATGAATTCATTCTTTTTCAATTAGCGTCTACAATTTTGACTCCCATGAATGAACAATCAGCCCCATCCTTATACAAATGGAAAGACCAAGCAAATAGAGTGAACAGTTATCACACAGTAAATTTATGAATAAAACACCTAACAAAATTCCTCAATCCATTATAAGCCAGAAAGCTACCAGCAAATCCACTTAAATTGAAAAAGAGTGAAATTTTAATACTTTTAATTAATACAAATTCAGACAATGGCTAATGAATAGAATGGCTGCAAGTACTATGCATGTACAATGACAGTACAGAACTAAGAAGAATTACAAGAGAAGCATCTGGGACTTAAGTACTATTTCCAAGATTGGATTGGTTTCCCCAGACACATAATTAATTTTCAAAATGTGAAAACGACAGTGTCCTACAAGAATTAGCATTTAATAAAAATCAGTGACAAATACTAACACATGGACAGTTAAGGATGTCCAGAATCTCATCATCTCAAAACTTAAAAATACAGAATTGCCATACATCTGTGATGGCGAACCTTTTGGGCTTGGTGTGTCAAAAATTCAGAAAATGCCTAACTTTACTCTGCTGGCATGTCACACACACCCCAAACAAAAGAGAAACAATTCTTTACATATTCGTTAAAAAAAAATACAGTCCAATCATGTGTGGTGTTAGTTATTTTCGGGTGTTGGTGAACACTGGTGGGTCACCCAAAATGTTGTGGTGTGTCACCTTTGACACACGTCATAGGTTCGTCATCACTGCCCTAGAACAAGGAATATATTCTTCTATTGCAATCTTTAAAAAATTAAAACAATGTAATACAATCTCTTGGAAAATAAAGATATAACCAAAAGAAAACAAAACCCCAAAATATTTATATGTTTGATAAGTCAATTTGGTTACTTTACAAAGTAAAACAATTTATTAATAAATTAAAAATCCAAGAATGTTCTGAAATGTTTGCTACACAATCTCAGCATAAGCACATTCAATGATGGTTGTTCAAAAATTTTCCCTAAGGCCCCCTCACCTCTAGATTTCACCTCCTACTACCCAATAATGTCTTCCTCTATTTCTTTTTCATAACTATAAACCATGATTTCATATATAACCCCACATTAGTGTCATGGGGTCTATCTGCTATTTATTAATTATTCTCAATGAGTAAAAAATCTATACTTGGCTTACAATTATCACAGAAAGCTACTCAGAAATAGAATACTGTCTACCTTGTTAACTTCCATGATTTCCCGTCTCTCTTCACTAGCAAAGAGTAACTGGTTGGTTGCTCCTCGATCATCATGCTTGAAGCCATCCTCTTCAACATAAGGAATGAGCTGCTGTAAATGTGAAGAAAAGTCCTAGATTAAGACTTACAGAGAACCTCTGGTGGAATGTGGGGTGAGAAGTTATGTCATAATAATTAGTTAATCATGGTAAGTATGAATTTACAGGAATACTTATTTCTGAAAAGCATTTATGTTATATTGACCTGTTCCTGGACATCTCAGGAAGCTTAAGATGTCCCAAAACAATAAAAAATATACAGTGGAACCTCGGGTTACAAACTTAATTGGTTCTGTGACTCTGGTCGCAGCCCGAATTGGTCGCAACCCGAAGCAAATTTCCCCATAAGG